GCCCCCTGCCCCCCCTCCCCGCACCCCCGCGCCTGGCCCGTGTAGGTCAAGCCATTAAGCTGTACTTTTGCTCAAATTAGGACACCCATCCTTCCAGTGGCGTTGTTTCACCTTCTTTGCTTTCCTGGTCAGATTCATGGAGTTTAAAAACTTGTCTTTCAATATTTACGTCTACTTACCATTTCATACATCAGCCTATTTGAAGATGTCCAGCTTTGAACCTCAGGAGAAAACAGAGCGTGGCTGTGTGCAGTGTGCAGTGCGCCCACCGCGCCCACCCCCTGCCCACGGGCTCTGCTCTTGCCCTCGGCAGTGGCTCCCAGCCTTCCAACCTCTGCAAACCGCCTTCTCCGCTCCCCACATCCACCCCTCACCTGGAAATCCAGGGCTTCATGAATCACATTTAAAGAAACATAACGTTTGAGGACATAATGACTTCATAAGGCTGGAAATCCTTGCTTTCCAAAGGTTTGCTCACGCCTGCCATCCTAGCTACCCCGGAGGCTGAGGTTGAGGTTCAAAGCCAGCCCACGCAGGAAGTCTGTGATATTCTTATCGCCAGTGAATCAGTGAAGAAGGTGGAAGTAGAGCTGCAGCTCAAGCAGTAGAGCCAGTCCTGAGTGAAAGGGTGAGAGACAGCGTGCAGGCCCAGAGTTCAGACCCAGCTCCAGCACAAACGTGTGTGTGCGTGCGCGTGCACACACACACACGCACGCACACGCACGCACACACGCACGTGCGTGCGCACACACACGCACGCACGCACACGCACGCACACACGCACGTGCACGCGCACACACACGCACGCACGCACACGCACACACACGCGCGCACGCACACACACGCGCGCGCGCACACGCGCACACACGCACACACACACGCACGCACGCACACACATACACGCGCACACGCACGCACACGCATGCACACACACATACACGCACACATACACGCACACACACACACATACACGCGCACACACACGCACACACACGCACACACACACATACACGCACACACACACGCACACACACGCACGCACACACGCACGTGCGCGCGCACACACACGCACGCACGCACACGCACACACACGCACACACACACGCGCGCACACACGCACGCACACACACGCACGCAC